CATGTTAACATTCTGCTAATCATGATTTCTTTGAACTGCTGTTTTTTTCTGGGTGGAATAATTATTCAGCATTCATCTTTCGTAATCCACAAAAGGTGAAAGTACACATTCAATTTAATTAAATGTAATTCAATTCAATTCAGATTTATTCATACAGAGCCAATTCGGAACAACAGTCGCCTCAAGGTGCTTTATATTGTAAGGTAGTTACTGTTTGGCAACAGTGGGAAGGAAAAACTCCCTTGTAACAGGAAGAAACCTCTGTCAGTAGTCTTGTATAAGTTTGCTGTTGTGCAACATAATTATGACAGGACAGTCATTTACCAAGTACTCTGAATTGCCTACTCTGAAATCTGAGAACTCCTCCAGATTGTACTTGAGCTTTGAAAAGTACTCTATAAATTATTACAGACGGAAACACAGAAGTTTTCTTACTCCGAGAAAAGGTCTGGTGAGTCTTTCGCACAGGGTGACACAGCTTTTTCTTCAGTTCATCAAATAAATGGCTTGACGGGCTTCCATGCCCTCCAGTTCCCTTTCTTCCACTCTTATTCTTTACTACTCCATTTTTCATAGATTTATACTGGTCAGTGATCTCTCGTAGTGTTCTGTTAATCTGGAGGTCTGGTCGCTTTTCAAAGCTCTTTTTACACAGAGGACACTTGAAAACCTGGAAGGAAAGATGGAAATAAGATATAAGTAAAGATGGAAACAATAGAAAAAGAAAGGACATCAGCAGGAATGACGAAAATATGTTAAATAACTTCTCTGAACGTCAACAGAAAGTAAGGGAATGAAAAAGCTGAAAATGAAGGAAATCAAAAAAATAAGACCTTAGCTCCATTCCAGTATTTGGTGATGCATTGCATGCAGAAGCTATGTCCACATGGTGTGGATGCAGGGTTGGTGAATACATCAAGGCATATGGAGCACTGGAACTGTTCTTCACATAAAAAACTGTCATATAGAGACATCTTTCTGAAAGCAAAAGAGAGATGCAAACAATCTTAAGGAGAGTTTCAACATATGGATGATAACATTTGTGATTTTAAGCAACATAAACCACATAACTAATTTGGTTTATGTTGGTTTGGTTTATTTCAGTGACTAAGCAGTCACTGGAGAAGGTTACAGCTTCTCCAGTGTGATGATTTGGCAAATTTACTGCTGTATGCTCTCAATCGTATTGGTGGCATAAATAATAAAGGATGGGATAATGGTGCACCTTACATGGTATTTCATCTGGCTGATCACACAAATAAACTTGATGCACTTTGTCAAAGGTTTCACTTTTACACAAAAGGTGTCCTTTGGCATTTGTACTCTGACAAACCACGTCAAGGCATGTCAGAGGAACAGATCTGTCACTCCCAGCTGTCACTTGTATTTCAACTTTGGAATAAAAAACTGCTGGATTATAGTAAAATCATAAAAGCGGATCAAATGTAGCTCCCGATCCTTTAATCCAATTTAACCGAGGTATTGCTTACAGTGTAGTGAAATAAAACCTTCACAGATTGTCATGTGCGTAAACAGCAAAACATCAATTCTGACGGAGTATACTGCCCCCTACTGGCTCAAGTATTTGTTATTCCCCAGCTTTAAGCTTTAATTCCTCTCTTCACTCAAAGCATGTTAAACTAAAGCCTTCTAAATATCCAGCTGTCAAGTTTTTTTCTACATGTGTCACTTTCTGATTGAATATGTAATTGTGTGTGTGATACTTTTACTATCACACTTGACCTTTGAAACACTTTTGCTCATAATCAAGCTCATCATGTTATCTGAGGTGATAACCTTCCTTCTCAAGTAGCTGCTGGGAGGACTTCTCACTAACCACTGATAACAACTTCATTAAGACTTTCTTCAGAGAACAACTGAGGCTTCTGTAACGTAGCTTTTGTCCCGCAACTGTGCTCAGTCCCTGAAAACACAAAATTGTCTTATTGTGTCATATGCTCTGATCAGCGTGTCGGGTTGAATTTATCACTAGGTGATGCTAGTTGTACTTTGGGTGTTTGGTGTGTTTTAATGTGAGTGCTGTTTGACTTTTTTAAACAAGTGAAACCCAAGAGAGGAGCAAAGAGTCATGAAGCAGTTATCTAACAAGCTATTTATTTATTATGAGAATCAATGCATAGAAGTCATGTTTAAATTTAGTGTATCAAATGTCTAGCAACAAAATAACAGGGTTAAGATGGTAAATGGCCTGTATTTATATAGCGCTTTACTAGTCCCTAAGGACCCCAAAGCGCTTTACATATCCAGCCATCCACCCATTCACACACACATTCACACACTGGTGATGGCAGCTACATTGTAGCCACAGCCACCCTGGGGCGCACTGACAGAGGCGAGGCTGCCGGACACTGGCGCCACTGGGCCCTCTGACCACCACCAGTAGGCAACGGGTGAAGTGTTTTGCCCAAGGACACAACGACCGAGACTGTCCAAGCCAGGGCTCGAACTGGTAACCTTCCGATTACAAGGCGAACTCCCTCACACATATCTCTCTTTGATGACTAAAATCTGAACAGTATGGTCAGAAGATTTCAGGAATGAAGTTGATCGAGATTTTGTTCAGAACCCACAGGTACAGGTTTATCTTTATACAGGTAACATTTGAGCAGACTCATGTTGGGCAACACATTTCACAAATACTTCTGAAAGTTTATTTTCACGGGAAGCCATGCATAATTCTGTCTCATGTGTAAACTTCTCATGCTAGCCTATCCTGTTTCAGAGTTTTATGGGGCTGGACAGTATTGTTATTGTTCTGCAGTTAAATCCCAGGATGGTTCATCTGTCTGTCCCACAGCTACTACATGCAGGTCAGGTATTTGTTTTGTGAGGGAGGGAAATACATGCACAAGTGTGAAATCCTGCAGGTTAAAGAGAGCTAGTTATTTGTCAAAAGAAACTAGTACCATTGTCAAATATTCGATTTTTTTGCTTGAGTCATCAACCATGAGTTGAATCGTGCTCAATTCATGAGCATTGAGATAATGATTTACTACTAGAAATTGTTATATGAGCAAGGAAAGATGCAGATCACAGGCTCCATTTAGGACAAAAATCAAAAGCTTAAAAAAATCCTCTTAGCACATTTCCTAGATAAACATATAACTTACTTTGCCAACTTTCCTAATTTTGGCATTAAAACATTTGTCAGGGGTTCTTATGGAAGAGGGAACAAAAGAGGAATTATATCCAAAATTAAAAAACAGTGTGTTCATCATCTTGGTTTGCAGCCAAGAGATGATTACAAAGCACAATTATCATGATTATGCTCAATCTTTAACTTCCATTAAGAAGGTCATACCCACAAAGCACAAAGTAGCTGAAGTAAACAACATTACAGCCATAATATGACTCAGCTAAAATTCTAAAATCCACAGAATAAACCACTAAAGTGCCCACAAATATGTGGAGCACGTTTGGTGTTCTGGTAGCTGCAAAACCATTGCAAAATGTTATCTCACTGCTTGAAAATTATCCTTGGAGATGGGATGGTTGGGGTTTGGAGATCTAAGAATTCTTCAACTTTTCTGTGGTTTATATGATCCAAATCCAAATCGAATTTATTTATAAACTACATTTAAAAACAGAAAGTTTGCCCAAAGTGCTGTACAGAAAAACAAAAACAAGACAAAAAACAAACGATAAGACCACTCACATTCAAACACGTACATAAAATAAAACAAAGACACATCAACATCAACTCACACCGGTCCAAAAAAGAAGTGTGTCCAAAAGAGACTTAAAAACTGCCTATCATTTACAGGCAATGCATTCCAAAGTTTGGGAACCACAATTGAAAAAGCTTCTTCTCCTCTAAGCTTCAGCCTAGTTTTTGGGACAACCAAAGCCAGCTGATCTGTGGGCCTGCGAGGGAAGTACATCAGAATAGTATGGAGAAGCAAGACCATTTAAGCATTTATAAGTCAACATTAGGACTTTGAAATTAATTCTATGATAAACAGGAAGCCAGTTAAAGGAGGGAATGAAAGGTGAGATATTTCCATGCCTGTGTGCCAGTTAAGAGATTGGCAGCAGCATTTTGTACAAGCTGAAGATGTGAGAGGGATGCTTGGCTGACTCCAGCATAAAGTGCATTGCAATAGTCAAGCCGAGTTGAGATAAGGCATGTATTATTTTCTCAAAGTCATGCCCTGACAAAATTGGCTTAAGCTTTGCCTTAATTGGAAAAAGCTTTTTTTGCAACTCAGAACTGATTTGTTTACTAAATTTAAAATCCAAATCCATTATGGCTCCAAGATTCATTACATGCTGTTTGATGAGTGACCCAAACTATTACATTTTACTCCTAAATCTCACTAATCAACATATGCCAGAAAAACAACAAGCACAGCCTCGTATTACAAGAAATACACAAAATAATAACAAAAGGAAAATGTGATACCTTAATGCAGGTAAGGTGGACAGCACACAAATCCAGAGATGTCCCACCTTGGCCGCTCACACTCTCAATTATGAGGTGTCTCGGTGTGTGTACGTGCATAAGTAGTGTGTTCAAGAAAGTACAGCCACGCCCTCTCATAGTTCTCTGTAAATGTGGCAGGACTGGTTAAGATAGTGAAAAAAGAAAAACTAGGTCAGAGGACGTCAGATCTTATCACTGCATATGTTTATAGTAACACTCCTTTTATTAAGCATCAATGAAAATAGCCGCACATAGATCAGCCTGTGAGACTGTATCACATATCATAAGTATTATGAATTACTGATTATAAGTAAAGCAAATTTGTGATATAGGATTATTTTGAGATTTTGTGATATAGGGTGTGTTCTTTGTTTTTTGCCATTGTGTGTGATAGAACCGCTCTGAGCGTTAAATCTGGCCTTTATCAGATGTAAGGTCCTCATCTGGTGCACATCTGAGCTGTTCTCAGCAGGCTTGCTATTTTAAGATCACTCCACAGAAATCATCTTGCAATGGCTGCTGGATCTCCTTGAGGGTGTCAAAATGGTGATCCTTTACCAGAGGTGTGATTATGTTTTGTATAACTCTTTTAAAATGGATTAAGATCTATAAACTTCAGCATAATTTTTAAGTGTTGCACATGACCAGTACATTTTCATATCATTTGGTTGTGCTAAAACACTACACTACAGCAGGCTGTTTAATCATCCTCTCCATTAAGAATATTTTGTTGTTGAGGTTTTTAAGGCAAGTAACTTCTAACCATGTCACATTAGCTTAATACTACTACTACCACCACCAACAACAACAACAACGATGATGATGATGATAACACATTTTTATATATAGGTGCCTTTCAAAACCTCAAGGTCACCTGAGATTAGTACAGCAATTTAAAAAAAAAATACACAACTAAATGAGAAACTAGTAAAACCAGATAACAAAAGCATAAAATATGTTCAAAATAAAAGGAGACTAAGGCCAGTTGTCCACTATTTTTGGTGTGTGACTATTATGGTGAGAATGTCGGATGAAGCAACTAAGGCACCAGTTACATTTTTTTGAGCAAACTTATAAAACTTCTAGTGAGGGAGGCTGTCATTTATTTTTCCATTGAATTACAAAATTAATACAAACTTCAGAGAAACCTCTATGCAGTTCATCATATCACTGTTTTTATGTAATATTTGTAATATTTTGACATTAACAACAACTTCACTGTGCACAGCTCTGGCTGGTCAAGACTCTGTGCTGGAATAAGAATAAAATTAGATCTTCTTATTCTCTCATCCGTCTCTCTGTAGGAGTTATTGCTGTAGAGGAGCCAACTGTGGATGCCTTTCAACTGCTCTGCATGTGCTTTTTGATTCTAGTAATCATTTGTTTGTTTCCAGTTCCTGCATCTGAATCAGTAACATTTCACAAGCTTGTCATTCCTTTCTGCCGAGAAACAATTACACCGAGAGAAAGATAAGTACACTCTGACAGTGTGCACCCAAATAAGATGTTGCGAAACAGTAGTTTTAACCTTCATAACCAATTCCCAGAAAAACAAAACAAACAAGTTTAAATTCAAAAAGCAAAGAAACTGTGTCTTCGTAGCATAATGGTTTGTACATTTTCCTTAAAAGAGGAGGAGCCCTACATTGTTCCCGGGAGGAGGTACAAATCGCTTTTTCAGAACTAAACATGCTGAGGCAAAGGTTAAACATTCCATTATATTTATACAGTACCAAATCACAAGAACAGCTTTCTCAAGGTGCTTTACACTTTAAGGTAAAGTTCCTACACTAATATGTAAAATACTCTCTATTTTAAATTGACAAGTACAGCAAACAATTGACTGAGTCTTCTGTGTGAGAACCACAAAGAAAGACTTAGCAGTGTCAGCCAAGTCACTGAAACTACAGTCCCGTTTAATTCTCTTTTAATTATTTTTTCAGAAAGACTGTTTCTATTCATTTCATTTAAAATTAATTATCATAAAATGATTAGCCTTCTGATACTTTACATGGATTGATGGGCACATATAGCATTAACCCATGTAGGTTGTCAGTAGCTAGATAACACACGACTCAGTACTTTCTAAACTCTGGAATTGTGTATTCAGGTAGATATTCGCAACAAATAAATATAAGAATCAGTCAATACCAAGAAATATTCACAAACAAATACCTTGGAATTGTTTTTGGACTACCTTACATGGATGGATGTGCTTTGATACTCAGAAGTGTTTTTCTTTTCCTTTTCTTTACCGTGAACCATATAGACGATATAACATCAGTTCAGTTTCCAGTATTTAATAATCATCTGTACAATCAGAACTTTCAATCATGGACATTCCACAGTGTCACATCTTTGTTACTTCTTGGTAAAAAGCATAGCAGTACCAACTGGCAACTGATAACTGAACGCCTACATTGTTAGCATTTTTGCTGAGCTTATTCACTCATTACAAGAATGAACCTGTTGACTCCAAGGTCACTAATGGGGTTACCGGATGAAACAAAGCAGGCCTATATACAAAGCTTTATAAATTTGTGAACTGAAGGTGTAGAGTTTACACATGCTTAATATGTACACTCACTGAGCATTTCATTTGGTACACCCATGTACTTCGTCCTTAGCACAAATCTAATGACTGCAAATGAATGCATTGAGGCACACGGACATGATCAAGACGACCTGCTGAAGTTCAAACTGAACGTCAGAATGGAGAAATAAGGTGATTTAAGATACTTTGAAAGTGGCATGATTGTTGGGCTGAGGATTTCAAAAGCTGCTGTATTTTAAACACTGTCAGGAACCCTGGGTGGAGCAGGAGGTGGGATTCAGTCTGTTCATGTTTAGTGTTTTCACTGTAAATAAATGCACCAGAGTGATATCCACTAATGTAGTCTCTCCAAACACTCGAGGGCAGGGAAGATCCAGGGAAGGTCTGTATGCGCAGTTATGGGGGGGTGGGCAAGGGAAACACACTAGTGTCCAGATCCAGGACTTTACTAATAGCATAATTCAACAATCCAGCAAATAATGAACCTCAGTCACCACATGAAGTAGTGGCCTCCTGATGAGCTCGTCTGGAACAGGCGGTTGATTGGTGCAGACATGCTCTGACAGAGGCGGGAAACCCACGATGAGTTCCACCCACAGACAGACAGATAAGCAAGACAAGCATAGAGAAAGAAGAGACACAGAGAGAAAACAAAGACGTGAGCAGGCTGCTCAAGAGGACTGAGGAACAGGATAGGTTCCACTGTGACTCTGAATTTAGGAAACAGAAGGCGAGCAAAAGAGAACGATGAGAGTGAGTTTCTTTTCAAAGATAAGCACAACTCAGCATGTGACATTTTATGATTATAAAATAGATATTTGATCTATGGAGTTTTCACTGAACTTTGTTTTGTCAGCTTGTCTTATACAACATTAAAAGACTTAAGCATTGCAACAAGCTGGTCTGTAAATCTGTGATGACTCTGTGTTTTTTTGCTGTATTATGAAAATGTTCTGGGTGAGTGTTACAGCATTAGAAATAATAAGATTAGATCAGTGTTACTCATAAAGCATGAAGCATTTGCAGTAGTTTAATATAGAACTACCTTTTAGCTGTTTCATATGAGTTTAAAACTAATAAAATGAGTGTTTGAGAAAAACAAAAATCATAAAATAGCAGCAAATGCAAGTTACAGTTATCCAGAGCTCAAAGCA